GGGAAAAATAACCCCAACTATACGTACAGTATGATGGGGGCTAATTTGGCTATGACAAATCAGGAAAGAGATCTTGGAATTATTGTGGATAGTTCTTTGAAAACTTCCACACAGTGTACAGCGGCGGTCAAAAAGGCAAATAGGATGCTAGGAATTATTAAGAAAGGGATAGAAAATAAGACACAGAATATCTTACTGCCCCTGTGTACTGTGTACAGATGTGGTCTCCTCACCTCAAAAAAGATATTTTGGCCTTGGAAAGAGTTCAGAAAAGGGCAACTAAAATGATTAGGGGTTTGAAACGGGTCCCATATGAAGAGAGGTTAAAGCGACTGGGACTTTTCAGTTTAGAAAAGACGAGACTGAGGGGGGATATGATAGAGGTATATAAAATCATGAGTGGTGTGGAGAGGGCAGATAAAGAAAAGTTTTTTATTAGTTCCCATAATAGAAGAACTAGAAGACACCCAATGAAATTAATGGGTAGCAGGTTTAAAACTAATAAAAGAAAGTTCTCCTTCACACAGCGTGTAGTCAACCTGTGGAACTCCTTGCCAGAGGAGACTGTGAAGGCTAGGACTATAACAGAGTTTAAAGAGAAGCTAGATAATTTCATGGAGTTTAGGTCCATAAAAGGCTATTAGCCAGGGATAGAAATGGTGTCCCTGGCCTTTTTTTATCAGAGGCTGGAGAAGGATGGCAGGAGACAGATAGCTTGATCATTGTCTTCGGTCCACCCTCTCTGGGGCACCTGGTGCTGGCCACGTTCGGCAGCTAGGCTACTGGGCTAGATGGACCTTTGGTCTGACCCAGTACGGCCATTATTGTGTTATGTTCAAATTATAAATTATATAATTTTTTTAGATGCTGTATTCTTACTGAATTTGACATATGGGCAATTGATGCAACATTGTCATAATTCAATAGAACCACATTTTTCTTTGTATACTTATGTGTAAATTAATACTAAATGACATGAGCTATAGAAATAAGATTTCAGTAAAAATGTAATATGAATCTTTTTTAATTTACATGAAAGGAATTTACATATTCAGCACTGTGAAGCATTGCAAGATTATGCAATTCCATGAGATTAGGAAACTAAACTAAGGGTAAATTAACTAGAAACAAGTAGAACTGAATAGAATCTCTGCATTGTCAAATCCAAAGTGCAAAAAACGAAACTAAAAAACTCAGCATGAAAACAAATTTAATTTTTCTTTCTAGAAGAAATAACAGGAAATTGTTTTAAAACAGTTTGAAGTTCCCAAAGTTTTTCTGTAATAAACGTATTTTAAAGATTTAATATTGAAGTATTACATGCAAAATAGTACTTGCTATTTTTAAGTTTATGCATTATGTGAGCCTACAAAGTGATGAGCTAATCAGCAAGAGTGGAAAACAATCATTACTTTACAGAAAGGTATTCACAATCGGGGTAATTTCTCAAAGGCCTAAATGTATATTAGAAAAGATTCAAACACTTGTTGTGAAGCACATCAGTTTGCAGGCATTTCTAGTTACTTCTATGGTTG